GCCTCCCGAAAGAGATCCTCATGGGTTTATGTTGTGATTTGAAACCTTTTTTGGAGCGACAGACCAACCGCACGAATCCTATTCCTGTCCAAATTCAATTATCGTCAACCCTGGGATTTTTAGCCACCGCTGAGCCGGATTATGCCATGTGTGTTGAATGCCATCATTTCCCTGAACCCAAAATACATCCAGTTTCCTTGGACAAATCGAAAACATGCCGTAATCAAACAAGAATTTTACGCAATTGCGGGATTTCCAAATACCACTGGAGCACTAGATTGCACGCATATTGCAATAAAACACCATCACAATATGAATTTAATTATGTCAATATAAAAGGGTTTCATTCCTATAATGTACAAATATAATTGCTGATGCTCATTTAAGCATTTAAAATTTGGTTGCCAGGTGGCCTGGAGGAACGCACGATTCATTTATTAAACGAAACAACTCCGTCGGAGTGCGTCTCGAGAAAGAGAGGTGATGTTGAGGATGGATGGCTTATTGGTGTGACTGACAGTTTTTAAAAATGCTACTGCTTGTGTAATTATATCCAATAGCTATTGTAACCTTACGTTTTAGGTGATCAAGGTTATGCATTGAAGCCGTGGCTCGACTCCGATACCAAACCCAGCGACCGTTCCAGGAGCAAAATTATAACAGAGCACATGGGCAGACAAGATCCACAGTGGAGCGCGCAATAGGTTTCCTGAAAGTCGATCGGTGGCACATGTGTTTGTCAAGCATCAGAGGTGCCTTACAATATCGACCTGAAAAGGTGTGCCGCATAATCATTACTTGTTGTGTACTCCACATCTTGGCCATCAGACAAGGTATCCCTCTGCAGGAGCCCCCAATACCAGACCCCGCCCCCCAATGCCTGACGCATGCCTCCTCCACTGCTCAATGCTGCTGCCATTCAGGCAAGAGCGAGGATCATTAAGATATATATTTTGGGTAATCAAACAGCACATTAATTGATGGGGAAAAAAACTCTTATTATTTTGCAACTTAAACTAGTAACACTTAATGACGCACTGATAACACTACGTATGATGCACATGCAGCAATTTGCTTGCTTTAGTTCGTTGATCGACTTCATTTCTTAGAACCGCGTCAGTCCACACCTTTGGCTCCCGACCCATTGACAGACCCGGTGTTCCGGGCAATTCGGTTTCCCTATGTTTCCCCTGTCTATCAGGAAATAATGTTTCCCCTAATATTAAAGCAAAGAGGTATGTGAAATGTCTGAAAATCACTCAGGTACATTATTACATGTAAAAACTGTATTGTTATTAGTACCGGGGCCCAGAGTTGCTGTATACCTGTTTTAACAGGGGGGAACCAAATATCCTAGATGTCAGGAAATAATGTTTCTCCTAATATTTAGGCAAATATGTATGTGAGATGTCTGAAAATCACTCAGGTACATTATTACATGTGAATACAGTAGATCGTCACGCATAATATAGTCTTATAAGCAATACTATACCGTTTTCATCAAGAAATATGTCTATCCAGCGAATGAAATACTTTCATTTATTATCTGTAAAAACAAAAAACATCAAAAAGGCATGTGATGTTTTAAAATATATGGCTTGTTTACCTCAAGAGCTTCGTAAAAAGACATGAAAACAACAGCGAAAAGGCATGTGATGTTTTAAAATATATGGCTTGTTTACCTCAAGAGCTTCGTAAAAAGACATGAAAACAACAGCGAAACCGTGTACAAATCAGCGCGCGACAGGGGAAACATAGGGAAACTGAATTGCCCGGAACACCTGTACCGGCTGCTCGACCCGTGGCTGCTCCTCCTGCGTGACCACCGGACTTGGCACAGCTTCTGTATTAAAACAAACATTTTTACTTTGACGGAATATTTCTAGTAAAATCTCAGTTAATTATTTAAGTGTCACATCAAGCGTCTCATTTCATTATATAGTTTAAAAGGATGTTGTTACATTTCAAAATAAAAGGTTTGCAAACTGTTTGATTTACCTTCGTTGTGGAAACTGGATGGTCCTGCTTGATCTGTTGGTGGAGCCAGCTTGTCACTGTCTCCGTGCGCACTGATGCCAGACAAAGCAGTGTCTCCAATAATGCTGGCAACACGCGTGTCAAACGTCGTCAGCTCTGTAGTGATCTGTCCACCCCCGGTAGCAGATCTGTCCTGTCTGTGTGCCGAAACACGTTTTTTCGTATTTAGTTTGATATCGAACCATTTTTTCTGACCGGGACCTCCCCTCTAACCGACCGCATTTATTGCCTCTGTCACTTTCTCACAGTCAGTATTCTTTTTTTTATTGGTTACCCAGAGCTAAGGGAACCAAACAGCAATGTTTGGTTCATTTCGACCTCGACAACGAGGACCTCGATCTCACTGTCACTGAAGTTTTTTTTTTTTGCTTTCTTGGCCATTATTTTCTGGTAAAAAAAACTAGGATTTTCTGCATGGTTTTTAAAGGATGTAGTGTTACCAAATATGGTCAATTGAGGGCGTTTCTGAATGCAAATGACTATGAACGGGCACGAGCACCTGAGTAAGAACATGTGGGATTTATCAACAACTGGCCTCCACACGTTTGATAAATTTGGATTTTTTTTGTACTTACGAACATTCTAAATTTCATTCGTAGGATGGAATTCAGGACAGTTTCTACGAACGGTTGATAAATGAGGCCCTGAAATGGGAGAACCACATCTTCTCCCTCCTCAAAACGGCACATCAGAGAATTAGAATTTAGAAATTAATTGGCATTTTTGACACACCACACAACAACAAAATGTGTCGTCAAAATTTAACCTATATGTGACATACTCGGGGGCAGCTAATTCAGCACCCAGGGAGCAGTGCCTTGCTCAGAGTACCTCAGTGATGCCTTGCCGGTCTGAGATTCAAACCTGCCATCTTTTAATTACAAGTGCATGTCCCTAACCATCAAGCCACCACTGCCCACAATCACAACTGCCCACAAGAGGGTGTACCTCCTGCGACAACTTAGGAAGTACAAGCTCCCACAGGAACTGCTGATCCAGTTCTACTCAGCAGTCATCAAGTCCGTCATGTGCTCCTCCATCACAGTCTGGTTTGGAGCAGCAACCAAACAGGACAGGAACAGACTGCAATGGACAGTTAGGACAGCAGAACAAATCACTTTGCACCTTGTATGTTGTTTACACTTTATGTACATTGTTCTGTCTGTAAATAAGATGTCCTTTATATTGTATTTAATCTGTACTGGTTTGGAGAGACGCCAACTGCCGGAAACAAATTCCTGTGCCACACACACACTTGACAAATAAACCTGATTCTGATTCTAAAGACTTTCTGTCTGCACTGTATATGGGGGAATTCAGTGCTGACATACCAATGATTGATTTGATTGATTGGTTTTGATTCAGGAGGTCTTATGGTAGGTTCCCTGAGAGTCCACCGGGTGGCATACTTGGTTTCCACGTGAATCCGCATGGAAGACGAGGCTGACAGAGGCAAAAACTTTTCGCGGCGGCTTCCAAGTGTTATATGCGGAATTTGAGTCTTATTTGGTTGTTGCAGTTTGACATGAAACGATTGTTCCACCTGTACATACTGAGCTGCTGAGGATTTTAAACCACTTAAAACATTGTAAAGCTTTGATAAATTAACAAATAACCAATAAAACAAGATGTTAATTTTCTGAACAGGTTCAGCTTTTCCATTGTCCTGAGTACTTGGGCTGGTTTTGCGCTTCCTCAGCTCATTTCATTCTGAAACCTGTTAGGCTTTTCATGCCTGGATATTGGTAATTAGTTTGGGACAAAATTAATTTGGGACAAAATGCCTAGTGGCAAAAATATCCGCATTATAAAAATGTATTAGTACTGTAAGAATCCTGGCGCTACAAGGCTGTAACAAGTACTGAAAAGTATGCTGGGAGCATAAAGTTTCTCTCGTGCTTTTAGCAATGCAGCACATGTATATTATTTCATGGGGTGAAGTTTAAACATTGTAATTGAACAGGCTAGCAGGACAGTAGAGCTGGGTAGGTTTCCACTATGCAAAGCATCTTTGGAGTGTATATTACCATTAAAGCTTATTTGCTGTGTTTAACCAGAATCTGTCTCAGTGCCATTGTCTAACTGAACGTTACTCAGAAAGCAAATCAAAAGTTTGCAAAATCGATTGTTTGACAATCGGCTACAATGCCTAAACAACGCAAAATAAAGTACGCGTGCATCATGGGTAATTGTAGTTTTGTAATTTATATTGAACCTATAAATGTATGTGGAAATGACTACAACACCCAGAAATCACTTCGGTAGAAGCGCTCGATGACGCGATTGTCCACATTCGAAAGACGAGGGAAAATCAAATCGTATTCCCCAGTCCCCACCGCTGTCTGTCTCTCGTATTTTTTCTGTAAACCATTAATAACAGTACATTGACTGACGTGGTCAGGTAAGTGTTTCGCGTAACGGATTAAACGAACTGTCTGAGCCTTATGTATGGTAACGGGTTGGCCTTTTGCTGGAATGCGAGCTGGTCCGCCGTCATGCTGCCGCACCGAGCCCCTTCACGCCTCCTGTTTTCCCGGCAGACGGGTGCCAAAATGCAGCGGATCAGCCGCCTGAAGCGGGAGCTGCAGTTGCTGGGCACCGAGCCGCCGCCTGGGGTGTCCTGCTGGCAGACGGAGCACGACGTGGGCGAGCTCAAAGCCGGTGAGCGGCCTGGTTTTCACCATACATCAATTTAGTGCTGGTAAACTTGATTCGCCGCGATTTTGTAAATTACAAAAATTAGTTTCGGTATCGTTGAGTACCAGACAGCCAGCATCAGTACTCAGTCTGAAAAAACTGGTATCGGTGCATAGTTCAATAAATAGCATTGAATTTCAGACGCATTAAAAGAAATAGCAACGATTTGTTTCTGTTCATTTCAGAAAAGCACTTTGTGGTGTTTTACTGGCGTCCTACACCGTTTGTACTGAGGCTTGTTTTCTGTCACAGCAAATGTGAAACGAATCCGTATGTTGGTACATTTATCCCTACCTAAAGCTAACTGTGGCACAGACAATGGCAAAAGTTTGCTATTCTATTCTATTATATTCAATTCTATTCTATGCAATTCTATGGAATGCTATTTGTTCTGTTTGGAAAGGCAAACAATGCCATCAAGTGGTATAATACGGTAAATGCCGATTTTGGCCGTGACTTGTGATTCTGAATGATCACCCTTAAATGTGGTCTATAGAATTATCATCTGGGGGGGAAAGCTGCACTCCTGTTGCTCATTAATTAAAAACAATACGTTGACAGCATTCTCCTGTGGTTACACTTGCAGCTAATAGTAAATCGGTATGTCAGGAGCTTGTATTCTTGTGGAAATCCTGACCCAGACGTGGTAGTATATTGAAAAAACGAGTAATGATAGATACTGACAGCTGTATGGATATATCGCACCTACTGCTAAACTGTGACCCAAACATTCCTTTGACACTGAGTCTTGTACATGCAGCAGATGACATTAATGTCCTCTGTCTTCATATTCTACTTTAACTACTTTAAGTCTTACTTTGTCAGAAAAATAACTGCATCTTGTAGTAATGATCATTCACTGCCTGGTGGTAGCTGCTGAATCCCCCTTTAGTGTGCTGATGGATTCATTTTTATAATTGCAGAATTAGTGGGAGGGGTGAACACGCCATATGAGGGTGGTGTGTTTTCACTTGAGATCAAGGTCCCAGAACGGTGAGCAGCAACCTGGTTTAAAAACTACTTACTTCAAAAACATATTTTTGTCTTTAATAGTTCGATCAGTTGTGTATAAAATGTACGTACCATCTGCCTTTTTATTCTGCAAACAATGACACTTCTAGTGTTTTTGAAAATATCTAATGGTTTGTTTTCTTAGGTATCCTTTTGAACCTCCCAAAATTCGTTTTCTGACGCCAATCTACCACCCTAATATTGACAATGGTGGACGCATCTGCCTTGATGCTCTTAAGTTGCCGCCAAAGGTATCAAAGTTCCTCCACTGTTTTTTTAGCTAAAAATGGTCTCTTTCCTCTCTGAAAAGTACATTAAACAATTACCTTTCAGTTTAAAGTAAAACTACATTACCTGCCCCCCTGAGCTTTTCAAGGTCCCAACTAGTGGTGTCCAACCTTTTAATATTGATGGGCCCTGTTTCTGGCTCACACACCACACAAAGCTCCTAAATGTTCTTAAGATGATGATTTACCCAATAAGTAACATGCTCCTAATGCTATTAGATTCTTGGCTTGACATGGAATTGTCAGCATGTTTCTGGACATTGAGAACAGGGATCAGTGGCTTGGTTAGTTGATTAAGTGAAGTATTGATGACTATATGGCATTTATTCATGACAGGGAGCGTGGAGACCGTCCCTGAACATCTCCACCGTGCTGACTTCCATCCAGCTTCTCATGGCTGAACCCAACCCGGATGACCCCCTCATGGCCGACATCGTGAGTATGGGCAGGTGATCGCGTCCAGCTTCATGTGATGTGTGGGGGGGTTTTCTTCGGCTGACTTGGCAGATAGTGGCAATCGGACTTATGTTGGTGTATGGAAACTCCATTTCTCAATACGTTGGCTGTGACCTTTATGCAGTTCTTAGGTATAGAATCTGTGATTTGAAAACTTCCAATAGTAGAGAAACTTTTGGGTGGGATAGGGTTGTATTTTTAAGAAGCCAGCAGGGTTTAGTAAACTGCTGTTAGCGTCTGATCCTGCAGTGAAGCATGTGTGATGTCACGGCTGAAGCTGTTGACCGTTTCCTCAGTCTGCAGAATACAAGTACAGCAGGCAGGTGTTCCTGGAGAAGGCCAAGAAGTGGACTTTGAAGCATGCCATGCAGCAGAATCTGGTGGGTCTATGGTCTCTTCTGCTCTTTGAGGTCATCTGGAAATGTTGCAGATTTTAAAGGCTGCTTGTTTCCTATGTGCATTAAGGCTTGCAGTTTGCATATTTCATGTGTTGTTATTCTTCAACTGCTCAGTGGTTTAATGGATTCATTTCATTGTAGCTTTTTGAATGCTACCTTCAGGGTTGTTTAATTTTTTTTTTTAAAGAGCAGAGACTGATGACAAACATGTTTTGTGGGGGGGGGGGATTCTCAGCATGCATAGGGCCACTCTGAACAACAGCCAAGAACTGGTCATAGATCTTTCTGTGGGAGTAGCATGACAGCTGGTGGCCGCAGCATTAAGTAGGCAGTAATGGCATTACCATTAACCTAGATTTTTGCAATTTGAAGATGTGCACTGAAACTATTGATGAATAGCGCATAAATTTGAAAAGAAGTCCGCAAGTATTGCAAAAGTTTTTACATTTGCTTGAGGTGGTTTTTGTGAAAGTATGAGACATGGATCTTAATCTTACGGGATGATAAATGGAATGTATTATTCATATAACATCCATTAATGGATCACACCCTATTTGCAATATTAACTTGAGTGAATTTGCTTATTTGCACAACTTTAATCATGGTTCCTATGCAATAGGGAAAAATTATGGATTTTTTAATGGAATGTTATGGTTTTTTCCAAGTCTGGAAAAGTATAGACAAAGGAAAGATTTTGATGTTTCCAAACTATTGCAACAAATTGGCCAACTATGTGTTCAGAAAAAAACAGTATTTACTTACTAACGTTTTTCATTAAATCACTAATTGAAGAGCGGTGTCCCAAACCACAGAGTGGGGGTGTGTCTTTGTGTGCGCTTGATTAATATCCAGGAAGAAATATTGATGTAGGCTGCCTTGCAATTTATAACTCTAACAGTGGGGAAATGCAAGTTTTCACTTGCTTGGTTTTGGCAGTCCCACAAATTGTAACTGAGTGGCTAAGGATCCCAAATGTGAACGGAAAGTAAAAACACAAAGTCTGTGTAAAGTCGACATTTTGAACATGGGGGAGTTGTTAGTCACAGGGTGGACAGAAGCTTTGATATGCAGTTCCCGGACGACACCTCCCCCCCCCCATTTCCAAATTTGAAAGGTTCAGATGGATACTAATTCAGTCGTGTTCAAAGGGTGTGAAGGAGATGGATCAACCAGATGCAGCGAGCAAGGTATCTCGCAAGAGGGAGATGCTTGGTCCAGAAGAACCACAGAAGAAGGTGAAGACCAGCCTGTAGATTTACATTTCTATGTTTTCCTGTGTTGTTTCTCTGTCTATATGTATGTACTACTGTCAATATCAAGCAATAATAAATTTTATCTTTTACTTATTTACACATCAGGGGGTCAGTTTTCTTCCTCTGGAAATGTTCTGCTATTCAGGACATTTCCCTGCTTCTTGTTTAAGTGTTTTTTGTACATCCAGTTCCTTTGACTGATGGGGTGATGTGAGCATAACAAGACCTTCTCAGGATGTTACATTACATTACATTACAGGACAGGAGCTTTTGTCCAAAGCAACGTCCAAGTGAGGATCTGAGAGCAGGGTCAGGGCGTGTCCTTGGTGGGTTAGGGACTTTGCTCAAGGGACCAGCAGTGAAATCCCTATCAGCCATGGGACTTGAACCAACAACCTTCTGATCAGCCAGAGCCTACACACCTCCCTCTTCTGAAAGTTTCTTCATATGCTGTTGAACATCTGCTTTCTGGTTACTCTGCACATAGACGTGATTGTGACAACTGAGTTTTAATCCATTGTCTGCTCTAAACGTTGTTTCTGTGCTGATGTTCAGTCTCGATCAACCGAACACCAAATGAATGCAGACAAAAACCTGGGCCCCCTACTACCAATACATGACTGGGGGGGGGGTGGTATTTTTTGCTTTTGTGTAAAGCACAAAACTATGAGTCATGCTTATTTAAGTTTAGAAAAGACTACCTTTACACAGTGGAGCCAGTCCTTACCCCACCTTTTTATGGTTAAGACAGCTTACCAATCTTCAGATACCCAACCCAACAAACAGGAAAAATGTAAGCATGTAAGGATCTGAGCAACTTTGACAAGGGGCAAGTTGTGATGGCTAGACAACTGGGACAGAGCATCTCCAAAATGGCAGGTTTTGTGGGGTGTTACTGGTATACAGTGGCCAGTGCCGACCAAAAGTGGTCCAAGGAAGGCCAACTGGTGAATCGGCAATGGGGTAGTCTGTCTGGTCCAATCACACAGGAGAGCTGCTGTAGCACAAATTGCTAAAAAAGTTAATGTTTGCTATGACAGTCACCACAGCTTGCTGCATAGCCGCTGACCCATGTCCACTGCACTTGTATGATGAGTCACATTTTTTGTTACATCATGTGAATCACCAGGTGTGTTCATGGTTTACCTGGGGAAGAGATGCCACCAGGGTGCACTATAGGTAGAGGGGAAGTCGGCGGAGGAAGTGTGATACTCTGGGCAATGCTCTGTTGGGAAACCTTGGGTCACAGCATTCCTATGGATGTTACTTTGACACGTACCGCCAGCCAAAACATTGTTGCAGACCCAAGTACATCCCTTCATGTCAACGGTACTCCCTGATGGCAGTGGCCTCTTTCAGCAGGATAATGTGCTGCCACACTGCAAAAATTGTTCAGAAATGGTTTGAGGAACATGAAAAAGAGTTGTAGGTGGTGGCTTGGCCTCCAGATCCCCCAGATCTCAATCCAGTGGAGCATCTGTGGGATGTGCTGACAAACAAGTCCGATCCATGGAGGCACCACCCCCAACGTACAGGACTTAAAGGATCTGTTGCTAACGTCTTAGTGCCAGAGACCAAGGGACACCTTCAAAGGTCTTGTGGAGTCCATGCCTCGATGGTTCAGAGCTGATTTTGCAGCAGGAAAGGGACTTACACTTTATTAGGCAGGTGGTTTTAATGTCCATCATATTGATGTATCTGCTCTCTGGCTGGTGTTTTCACAGAGACAAACGTTCCTTTATGTGCTGTAAACGCACGCCTTTTGATCTGAGTAGCAGTAAATGTTTTGAGAAAAAACTATTAGTTTGACTGTTGTGGGCCTTACTCCAGGTTCAAAGTGCTGTTCTCTAGGTAAATATAGTTTAGTCTTGATGCTATGAGTGATCCTAAAAGCTTTGTAGGTGGAATTTTCTTTGTCTTTTTTTCTTCTTCTAAGAATAGTAGATAGAATGACCCAGGAAGATGCATCACAAAGACAACGGCTGTTTTTAATAAAATTAATAATTTTATTTGATCATACATTTCATTGTTTACAGAGGTTTGAAAATATATACATCCAAAATAGTAAATCTGCTTTGTACATCTAAAAGCTTTATTTTTCAATATAAAATTATATATTTGAATATAATAGGAAAACATATTGGGATACAGAGGAATATTAGCATGCTATTTCAGAGGTAGTTACTCTGTATGTACAATAGCTAGCCTACTTTACAAACCCGGGGTTTTGAAGGAGTCGGTTGTCACACGTGGACAACAAATACCCAACTCTCGAGTATTTTTTAAAAGTTTCTTTCTTATTGTCTGATTAAATACAATTTAGAAAATGATAGCATTTTCTATCATTGTGGTGTGTGGTGAAGGACAATTACCGAATTGACATGTTAAGTTAATGTTGTGTAGTGCAGTGGTTACCAATCCTTTGATCGCAATCTGCAGGTCTATGTTTTATTGCAGGTCGATCGAGATTCCTTGTCAAACGCGACAATCAGACCATCACGTTAACGCTGCTGCATCAATTAGGCTGTATCACTCCGTACCATCGGGTCACTAGCTTTAGCGCACAGACGTCGCACTCGTATTTTTTTTGCTGGACTGCATTCGACACTGAAAAACAATGTAGACGTCCCACTTCTCGGTGAAGTTCTGGGAGTCTCCCGGAAGCAGACAGCAGCCTCCTGATGTGCATTGTCCTGGAAATCTGCTCGCTAACTGGGGCTAGAGGGTGGTGTTAGCATTAGCCAGCAAGACGTTTTGCCGGTGCAAGCCTGGCACAACCGTTTGGCAAATTTTACCACCTGCATCCCACCTCCCTTTGACGATTTTTTTCCTGCCTGTATTAATGGCTTGACAGCTGTCATCTGGATGCTCACTGTCACCACCTAGTGGATGTTGTTCCACTGTCTGAAATTTGATTGGTCCTTATTTCTCTAAGGACAGTAAGTGATAAATCAACAGCTAACTGTCCATCAGCACCACACAATCTTCTTTCAGAGATTTTGATGTAGGAATCAGTAGTGTGTGGAAAGTCACTGGCTCAAATCTTGAGTTTTGACTAGTGATTTTGCCAATGGGCACTTGAGAGAGGCACTTAAACCCCAGTTGCTCCAGGGACTGTCTGACCTTTAATTGTATGTTGTCTTAAGAGTGATGTGTCTGCTACATAAATTAAATGTAATGTAAAACATCTTCACAGCTGCAAATCACTTCTGGTCTGACATTCAGCCTGGTCCATGCCGATGATGCCACTCAAATGAATATTTACTTAACGCTGTTAAATAAACAAAGCTATGAGCTGTTCTCATTTGCTATAAGAAAGTGAAGGTCTGGATATAAATTATCTGAAATACCTTAGACGTGTCTAAGTTCTTTACAGACCAGGAGTGATGTAGCAAGTGACGGCTTGCCATCCGACATCAAAGGGATCAAAGCACATAGCTGAAGCCAAACAGGGAGGCATACCAGTTATGTCTGAATGCATTTCTTTGAAAATGGTCTATTTTTGCATGGTGCCGGGGGGCTTTTTTTATTTTTTTTTTATCACCAAGTCGGCTGCAATCAGCATTTGCACTGAATTTTATAATCGGCTGGTAAAAGAAAAATCAGATACAACCATTTCTGGTTTAATAAGAATGGCTGTTCATGGAGCAGAAGACCACTAGGAGTTTTTCCTGTGGGGACTAAAACCGCCCTTGTGAATATCGGTTTTCAGAGGTAATAGGTCCATTAACTGGATGTTTGTCCTTCAGCCTTTCAAAATAACGCCCCGGTTTCATGTCTGCCAAAGTAAGCCTATAAATGCAGTTTAATTGACTTTACAAAGTGTATGATGATGAGGTCTCTGTATTTATGTATTTATATACAAACACAAAAAGAAACAACTGAGCTTCTTGACAGCTGTCATCTGAATGCTCACTGTCACCACCTTGTGGATGTTGTTCCACTGTCTGAAATTTGATTGGTCTATTTTTTTTTCAATGCTGAGAGGCCTGCTTTGTAGTAGGACCTGTTTCCCATTACAGTTCTGTGTTACGTGAACAGTCAGTTGTTCAGGAGTGGAAGGAAAAGCGGGGCGAATGGTGGGTTTTAGATGGGAAGAGGGCGCTATTCCGCTCAGGCTCCTCATGCTGGGTCCGCGTGCCACGGTGAGACGTAGTCCCGTTTTCCTTCTTAAGGGGGCCTTCTTGTTGGCAGGGGATGAGAGGGATTGGTGATGAAGTGGCCGTGTAGTGTAAAGGCTCCAGCGTGGGCTGGACTGTGCTCTCGTACAGCACGTCCACCTCGGAGAAGGACACCAGGGCCTGCGTGGAGTCGTATGAGCTTTTCTCCGTCTCCTCAGAAGCAAAGAAGTCCAGGGTCTCTTCCCGGCCGGGCCGAGACCTTCTCCAGAGCAGACGGAGATCTTCCTTGAAATGCGGGTTGAAGAGCAGGTAGATGAGGGGGTTGAGGCTAGCAGGGAGAGGCAGCAAGACCAGGAGGACCGACTTGATGGCCTCCTCGCCAATGCGAAAGAGGCCCAACAGGGAGGAGAAGGTGAGGAAGGCCACGGGGCAGTAGAGCAGGCAGTTGGTGAAGATGAGCCAGGCCACATGCTTGATCATGGCGCAGTCCCAGATGCTATCAAACTCGCCCTTCATCAGGTCCCAGTAGAGCTTGATGTAGGTGCCGGTGATGACCAGGAAGCAGAGCGTGTTCATCATGATCAAGGCCACCATGTAGCCCAAGGTGGAGGGTTGACCTTCCGGCAAGGGGGATGGCAGGCAGAGGGGCGAGGAGCCGTACTCCCCGACCCAGAAGAGCGGCAGGGCCCCCACCATGAGGGAGAGCGCCACGCAACAGAGGGCGGCTGCCTTGACGCTGCCAAAGGACGGCGACTTCCTGTAGGCACGGACACAGGACACCGACACGCTGCACTGCACTGCCGCCAGCGTGAGAAAGAGGATGGATGCCTCAGAGGCGAAGACTGAGAGGAAGCCAGTTGCCTGGCATCCCGGGCCTGTCTCCCAGCGGGCGCCATACTTGGCGAACTGCCCGAAGGTAAGGGCATCCACCAGGGCCAGGGTGCCCGTGCACAGCCCCATCAGCAGGTTGGCTCCCCCAATGGCGCCGATGACAAACTTGACCGGGGACAGGTAGCTGGGCGAGGTAAAAACGGTGACGATGAGCAAGCTATTGCCCACTAGGGAGACCACGGTGATGGCCCACATCCCCAGCCTGACCACCCAGCTGTCGATCATATAGTCACATGGCTTGAAGGGACCTGCAATGGTAATCAAATGGAAACTGGCATCAGTGCAAAGATAGTTGTGAAATAACTGCTCCTAATAGACCATGGACTACGACCTTTGTGCATCTGCCGATGCGATTTACCTGGAGTGGGCGTACACTGAATGCTGGCCTGGAGTTTGGAGTCTTCAGCTTCCAGCTGGAACTCCTCCATATCCAGATCATCTGGAACAGAAGGTCATGACTCTCCATCAACTACTCGAACATAAAGGTCAGTTGCCCATTTTACCTGATATAAAATTAGCTAGGAAGCTAACCACAATTGCCTCGTTAGTCATACCAATAATTTTAAGTTGCGTTGCGTTTGAGTTTTTGTGGCAACACAAAATTTAGTCACGGTTATTTTTGTTGTCAAGAGGTACCATTTTTTTGTCAGAAAAGCGTAAAATAAATAAATAAATCACCTTTTTGTGTCTTAATAATAAGCCTGTCATCATAACTTGTGGGGTTTGGCATGAAAGTAGAGTACCATACATCATAAATAAAGACATTTGGCTCAACTGCTTGCAATCGGAGTTTTTGCCTCTCAGAAACATACCAAAGAAACTGCACTCATGTGTTTTCGTTAAATCCTCCATGACAGATTACACGGAAAGCACACAGCAATAACCAGGGGGAGAGGGTTCCTTTTTTGCGTGGCTAGTCAATCATATCTCTCTGTTTTTCCTCATGTTCCCTCCTGTTACTTGAGATTTATGACGTTCTGCTAAATCGATAATTTAGCGTCTCAAGATATCATGGCCGCGTACAGCATTGTTTAAATCCAGATAGTCCTCTCACAATGACGAAGAACGATAACGGTTGTCTCTGCTTATAAGTAAATATTAGTGTTTTTAATGTGCTCTTTCCAAGCCACGAGGACTCTGAACAACTTGCATCTGTCTCCCCACTGCATTGCTGCTCCACTTCCGTCCTTAATCAGTATAATTACTTACTATACAGTCGTCTATTTGCACATCCTTATTGCCATTACATTACTTATTTGTTTACTCATTCTTCAATTGCACAGACTTGACTTGTCTGCCCTGTACTGCACTGCTGTCAGTCCTGTATTGCACTGCTGTCTGTCCTGTACTGCACTGCTGTTTGACCTGTATTGCACTGCTGTCTGTCCTGTACTGCACTGCTGTCTGTCCTGTTCTGCACTGCTGTCAGTCCTGTATTGCACTGCTGTCTGTCCTGTATTGCACTGCTGTCTGTCCTGTATTGCACTGCTGTCTGTCCTGTATTGCACTGCTGTTTGACCTGTATTGCACTGCTGTCTGTCCTGTATTGTACTGCTGTCTGTCCTGTATTGCACTGCTGTCTGTCCTGTACTGCACTGCTGTCTGTCCTGTATTACACTGCTGTTCCTCATGTACTGCACTGCTGTCTGTCCTGTATTGCACTGCTGTTCCTCCTGTACTGCACTGCTGTCTGCCCTATTGTCCCCCATGCAAGTGTCCCCTTCCCTGCAACAGTGGCATAAGAAATTCACTGTGTTCCTCTGAACACGTGACAGTAAAACTTAAAAATCGATGATGATGGATGGTGTGCAAAATGGCAGATCCTTGTCCTAATGGAAGCTGATAGACTAAAGCACAACCTGCTGTCTGGAGGCACTAAATTCTGCAACAGCAACCCAGGAGAATCCAGGGAAAAGAGCATTTTTCTCTGAAATTCCGAAATGAAACACATTTCCGTATTGGTTCCTCACATTATAGTTTGTAGATGTAATTTATTTAGGCACAAGGATTATTCTGTTCTATATTTGGAATTTTCAGTGAAATGAAACAAACAGATCATCGTTTTATAAAGTATTGCTAAACCTGCAGATTTATTTGTGATGGCCACATAAATCACTTTAATTAATGTCTGACAAGATTACATCACTCTTTCGGTGTGTGCTTAATTTATCCTTTGTTTTGTAATCTTTTGTTTGATCGGAAAAGCGCCTTCAGACTGCTGTGATTGTATCAAACGAGTCTAATTACTGTAGGCTCCTTTCAAGTATACAGTTTGAAAGGGTTTTCTGGGAGGGACATATTTTAAGAAAAATGTTGCTGCATATTTAATCTGTCAGGAGTTGGTGAAGGAAGAAACATGTTTTAACAGCACTGGACGCAGACGTCGGAGTCAGAAACAGAGAGCATGCCTGCCTCGGGTTTGTGACAGAGCGCTTTCGAATATAAGCTATGCTAACAGCAACCAGAGACTTTATTCCAGTGCCATGTCTTACCTGGACACACGTCTGTATTATGGTCTGGCTGAAGTTACAGGCACATGATAATGAATTTAGTGAGACAAAAACAATGTCAGGAAGATTAAAAATAAGCGCGGGGTGACAGGGGTTCGTAACATATAAATAAAACTGCAAAGTGGAAAAACAGACATCGCACAAATCCGCTTTACCCGTCCTGCATATTTTTTCCTATCTGAGAGGTAGCTATTTTTTATGTGATTTTTTTTTTATGTGATTCTGCTCTCCTGCCTGGCTGCACTCAAGCAGCAACACTCACAGCAGGCCTTACAGTTAGTGTCGGGGTGTAGCGGGAACAGGCCTATGTTCCTCTTCTGCAGGTCTTCCTCCTGGTTTTGCAGCTTCTCGGCTTCCCAGTGGCTGCCGGCCTTGTAGTTGCCGTTGCAGACGCCGTAGACGCAGCACTGGTAAGCATACGGCATCTCGATGACCCTGTTGAAACATCAAGGGGGACCCTTATGACGTGCTCGTTCAGAAGATCTTGAGGGCTTTCTGGAAGATGACTGAGACATTGACAATGCCAGTAAAATGACATGTGGGGCTAAAATCTAAGGTCCCTGCTGTAAATGTTAGGTTTTTTTGGCACGGAATATTCTGTTTTGGAACAAAATTTGCTTGAAGGCTAGAATAACCACCTTGTTTTCCTACAGCATGTCAACAGCAGAGACCTGGATCAGGATGAGTGGTTGGAAGATGAGTGGATGGATGAAGAGCCTGTCACCCGCAGAACTACATCAGCTTTTTCTTTTGCAAAACCGCTGCAGTGCCATAAGCACATGTTTCCAGCAGCAGTGGAATGCTTGTAGACATCTTCTTAACAAGGTAAAATGACAAAATAATCCTACTCAAACACAAGCTTTAGACACTGCCTTTTTTTACTTAAGTGCTGAGATCTGAAACACCATTAAATGTCTCCTGCATCCTTTCCATTATTAGCCGATTCTCTGTTATGAACAATCGTCGCTCTGTCTTCCCTTGAAGGTTGGGCCCCTCCACGACTGGAGAGCGTCCATTGCCTTGGGCATCGTTTGAATCACTGTAAAGCTGAGGTATTTATGAAGAGCCTCTTTTTTAAGCAGTTACCTACAACAGGTCGGTACAATCTTCTTCTGTGCCTGCAAGGAGTATCGACACAAACCTCGAACGTGCTGCAATTATAAAGACATTTCGTAGGTATGGGTGGTGTTTGTTTTGTGTTGATTTGTACACACATAGTTGCTAAAGCAGATTTTATTTGAAGGCACATTACATTGAGAGGTATGAACATGGATCAGAATACTGCCATCCAGCGTTTCTCTGACGTGACGTGATTGAACCTGCATCTATCATGAGGTGAATTCACGTCTAGCTCTAATAACGGATACAAGGATTTGCTGTCTTCCATCTCCACAGGTCTAAGCTGTAGAGTGGATGGTGCTGTAGAAGGAAAGCCTACCTCATCTTGGGGAAGTCCTCCTCTCTGAAGGAGCCAGACAGAGCTTTGTTGCCCCTCAATTTGAGGTGGGTCAAACTGGCGAGGCCCTCCAGAGGTAGCGAGCTGAGGAGGTTGTCGGATAGGTCCCTACAGACAGACACACAGATGATTCCAGTCATGCTGATGATCTCATGAAGAGTACACTGCTTTGACGACTCTAGATTTCTCAGTAATGGTAGCAATGTGACAAAGGCCCAAGGACTGTGGCCAAAAAGTTGTGCAATTGAGTCTTAATGTAGGAGAGGTCAATCATGCTTAAATTGTGTGTTAAATTGTACGCCATGCCGTTTGATTGTTATAGGTACTGAGAAGTGGATATTTATGATTACAGGGGTTATGTTTTTGATTAGGTGCTCGTAAATCCTTAATTATTCTGCATTACTGAAGTAATACGGTAAACTTCATTCGCGCTTCACGTTCACATTCGCTTCTCTGCCGTTTATTTCACAGCTGGGTTTTTCATAATTACGGCTAAAATTACTGTAATCGGCGCCAAGCAAAGCATCTTCACGGTTACACAACTGAACCATATGCACTAATGAAGCTGGATCTCTGTGTAGGCGAAGCTCACATTTATTCTCAGCGAATCTAATGCGGTATGAGGGATGGGGGGCGGGAGGGAGACTCACAGTTTCACCAGGGACTGCAGGGAGACGAAGGCGGCTTCATGAATGGTCGCTATGCGGTTCCAGCTGAGATCTCTGCAAGGGGCGAATCGGGACGACAAGAATCAGGCAAGTTGCTGGCTAGCCACCGATATACTCGCTCAGCTGCAATGTCTTCGGTGTTTTCCTCTATGGCAGAGGTGCCGGATCCAGTGTTATACAGCCCATTACATACTTATAACTCATTTAAAAATTTTCAGCTTTGTAATCTTCTGTTTAAGTGATCAGCATAGACTGGGCTTTCTTACAGAATAACGGAATAGAGATGTTACATGTTTTTTGCTCTCTCTCGTTTCTCATTCGGCTCAAAAAATAGCTCAGATGGCCCCCTTGAGGGAAGAGCTCATATTAGAGTTGGATGCCACTGGTTCATGCCAAGGAGGAAGAGTACGCTGCTCCAGATTGGCCGTGCGGGTCATTCTCTACCCTAAGGTGTGAGATCGACACAGCCGACCGCAACCTTTGGGCATGTTGATTCCTGTGTGTAACACTTGCTGAAGTGCTCTTTCGCACTGTCAAATGATGTTGAGCAGAGCCATGAAAGGAGCATGAGATTTTTAAGGGGGGGGGGGGGGGTGCATCACCATCACCTCACCACACATTTTCTTAATTATCTTTTAGAGGATGGGGCAGGGGGAGGCAGATGGAGCTGGGAGGTGGGGGCCACTCACATGGAGCGCAGTGAGGCAAGCTGGTGGAACGTTCCGGCTTCGATTTCCTGTATCAGGTTGTGCTGGAGACCGCTGCGGAAATTCGAAACAGCCATTGGTGTGACTCCTTCTGACCACCAGGGGGAGTAGTCACAAGGTGGCACAGCAGTGTTGGGTATCATACCACGGGCAAAAACACAATGTGCATGAGGTCCTTCACGTTTAGTGTCATTCATCGGGAGTAAAACAGAACTTGCATAATTATTCTCATTTATTGTCTTATTGATTTACTGTTTAATTGTATTCTGTTTTTAGCACCTCTGTGTTTCTGTTTCATGGTGGCTGGAAGGATATGCGGTGTAAGATTTTCATGGTATAGTGCTGCCTCCTGTTTGCTTTGAATATGACAGTAAACTCTCTGTTGAAAATGCTTCAGGGAATTAAATGCAGAGGAAACACAGGTGAGCGTAGCAGTGGTGTGGAAGTGTTACAGATCACCGTCTCATCGTTGAGGCCACCACACGTACATTTCCTGCAGGTGCTGGCAGTGATGAAAGCTGGGCAGCTCCTCTATCTGGTTATACGACAGTTCCCTGTTAAAACATCATGAGAGGGAGTTCAGAGCCAAGCAGGAGTGGGGCTCCTTTGCCGTCCATTGTACCTCCCAGTGGGTTTTCAGCTTCATGTTTAACTTTCTGTTCTAGATAAAGAAGTGCGCACTTCCTGAACGATGCTCCACATCAAACCTTACGCCATAGACTTTGACTCCCAGCCACATGTGGATATGTTTGTCCAAATGGCTCGCTTGATTTATATGTGCCACAGTGAGCACAGTGAGCTATTTTGGTGGATAGCCCATAACTGCAGTTATGAAAATGTATGTGTCTCTGCTCTTGCTTGGTCTATTTAATGGGTTTCCATTATGAAGAACAACTGGCATCCCATCCAGGGAGTTCCCCTGCACGAGGGCCTGTGCAGCCTGGGATAGGCTCCAACCCCCACATGGACTAGTACTGGAAAACTTGTTTGATGATGAATGGATGGATGTAATCAGATGATATGATGAACACATCAGGACCAGAGAAGAAATTGTGACTCTGACAACTACAAGCTACGCAACATCTTAACGATGACCTAACATCCTAGCAATGTGCTACGGAGTAATACGCGTATCAACACTGGGCCAATGGCTAATCCCATCATTAACACAATAAGCAATCCCAACAATGACCCAATAACTAATCCAAACATCAGCATAATTACTAAGCCCAACAACAAGCCGCCAACTAATCCCAACATTAACATACAGATCAATCCCATCGATAACACAATGACTAATCCCAGCAATTGCATAGTTACTAATTCCAACATTTGCACGATGGGTAATCATGGCATGATGAGTACTCTCATTTTTTTGTTTGGGTAGAGGTGGCTGAGCTGGTGATGGCGTTGGGGCAGTAGGGGGCATACTCACAGCACTCTTAAGCTGGGTAGCTGCTGGCACAGTCCCTGGGGCAAGGAAGTGAGGCCTGCTCTGGTCAGGGTCCTGCAAGAGAAGGAGCAAGAGAAGGAGGATGTGAGCAGGTATGGGGTGAAACCACTGAGAATCCCGCCCCCCTGCTGAAATGAGAGACAGCCAGGGATGGCATAGACACCACAAAAAACCCACCATGAGGTGGCACCATGGCACAGATGGGGCTGCCTTTCCCCTCCACCCCCATTGTCTATCTCGTATGCCCCCAATTTTTGCCCCCTGGGTAAAGGAGTGTTTGCGGAGGACCTTTTTTCCACTGGCAAGACCTCCGTGACGTTCAAACTTGTCAGTTGCAGTTAGAGACATTTTTCCATCAGCGATAACTTGCCAATGAAAGAGAATGAAACACTCAGCCCTGTTCATTACGTAAGACAGAGCGACATTGTATGATTCACATTGTATGTTTTTGTTTTACGGTGATTATCATGATGCCGATTAACATGAGTGACATGACACAACTGAATCCTTATTTATCGGTCTGGTTATTAAAAATAATAAAGCTGGAAAGATGAGAGAAGGGAAACACGTACAAAATTTCCAGACTGGTGGTTCCTTTGAGATCAGGGAATTCCTTGATTTCTGTTGCTCCATTGAGGGACCTGGAAGAGATGGACTAACCTCATTAGCTGCCCGTTAAGATGCCATAAATAAAAGGGGCAATCGGAACGTGGCTGAAGGCTTCTGTGCCCCGCCAGACCAGAGCGCAGTCGAGACACCTGCAAGCTGCCTACCCTCCTTCAGCGAACTCATGTTCTCAGCAGATTATTAATGCTTTCAGAAATCCTATAAAGCAGGGATAGGGACCCTGATCCATGGAGAGCCGGTGTGGGTGCAGGTCTTTGGGATGGCCTCTCAATCAGCCAATCACAGTGGCTCCCCAGGCCTGGAGTTGAGAACCACTGCTTTATTATTGGCTGATTGAGAGGTCATCCCAAAAACCCGGACCGGTCCTCCATGGATCAGGTTCCCTACCCCTGTTATAAAGGAACATCTGATCCAGCACCATGCACCAAATCAGGGTAAAAACATAGCAAAAATCTGAAGGGCAAACAAGCTGATAAAATGCACTGATTTATTCCCAGTTACATTATAGAAGATTTTGGTACTAGGATGAGACACTTGTTATTCTAGATCTCAACTGATTATTTTTTATTAGCGGAAGAGATCTCATGACTTCATTGACTTGAGGGCAGTGTGTGGCTTAGCATGCTAACATGCTATGCTTAGAGTTAGATGGTTGCCTGTTTAAATCCCGTCGTTGGCAGAGTCGCTCATCATTGGGCAACTAATGCAAGGCCCTTTACCTCCAACTACTCTAGTTAGCTGACTCTGTTCTCTTAAAAACATGTGTCACTTTGGATGAAAGCATCTGCAAAATATGTCAAATGTACTTTTTAATACGAAAATCTGGACTAAATTCTGGGTATTGAAATCAGATTTCGGTTTTCATCTGACAATGAACTGGCAGCAAGAGAAAGATGACACCTTCAGCCAGAACTATCTGCTAGACCTTATGAAATATGCTAGCTGCTAAAATATGTCACCCTTTATTTCATGCTGAGGAAATGGATGGGAAACACTCACAGTGTGTGCAGTTTGGGCAGGAACTGGAAGGCTGATCTTCCCACAAACTGAATTGGATTTTCGTAGAAATGGCTGGAGGGGGGGGGGAGGGAGAGCACCTTCTCAGGAACATGCAGAGAACTACTTTCCAACTTCCAAGAAATGTTCTCCATGCACATGTTACTTTGGTATGATGACACATCGATAAATATATCAGTAGCTCCTTTGTCTTGATGTAGAGACAGAGGCGCCCAGACAATAAAAAAATTCACTACAAATACAAACACCAAAATAAGAGAGTTTGAGTGGCCTACATAGTCTGCAAGAGCGGGTTCCCCACGAAGGCACCCTCTGGGATGCACCTGATGTCATTGTTGTGGAAGCCCCTGTCAGACAGAGACAGGCTTCAGCCTCAGCGTCACAGCGAACCATGACACAGTGAACAGACACACCAACACCAAACCCCAAACGGGACTCATGAACGCCATGGAAGAGCCACGAAAGATAACAGTAAGTGAAAAGGGCTT